GTGAGATAAAATGGAAATTATACTTTATTATTCTGTGACTGTTATATTTCGTAATCAGATGGATTACAAAATATAACAGAATAATAGAAAAAACTAGAATATAATAGAAAAAACTAGGTCTTTAAAGAGGAGAGGTTTGAAAGAGGAAACTGATTGTGTGTGTCTAATATCAGCAGGGATGGAATCCCCGAGGGAGACGGCTTGAATTGCAAAGCATTTGTCAAACACAGCAGTTTGGTGAGGGGGAGGATAGAGGCCGGAGTATCAGATCTAGTGGGACGGGATTGGTTGAAGTATTTAAATTGTAAGCTGTGAAAAATAGGAGGCTCGATGAGTTCTAATGATTTGGTACAGAAAGGTAGGTAGGAATTACCTACGGTGATAGGATGGATGGAGCCACTTCAACACGGTGTAATACTGGCGCATCTCTTGAGAGTTTAAGTTTGGCTTCGCAATCTCCCGAGAGTCCACCGTACACCATACAGCCATAGTCGAAGTGGGGGAAAACAAGGGAGGTAACTAGGAGTTGACCGACTTATATGGAAGAAAGGAGATGAACTGTTTTAGGGAGGAGATTGCGAAGAGAAAAGAGGGTTTAATAAAAAATAACACCTAGTTTTTCAACGGTAGTATGGAATAAGATAGGGGAGTTGTTCAGGAGAAGATTGGGGAATACCTCTGGACAAGAGTGGAGATTCTGATGGAGGGTTTTAGGATTTACAACAAAAATCAGGACCATAATCGTTTGTATGGGACTTCTGAATGGAGTTAAGAAGATCATTAGGGATAATGTGGGGGAAAAAGTAGTGATCACTATTAAAAGAGGAAAACATAGGAGCCGGACTGGACGTGATGTGGTTGCTAAATGGCAGGAGACAAAATGAGCGTAGAGTTTATCAGCAGAAACGGAAATGCACTGGGACTGAGGTGTATTACCAATGGTCAGTTTTCTAAGAATAGCCCAAGTGGCATTGGTATTAGGGGAGTTCAATAAGGAATAATAGTATTAACTGAATTTGGTACGGCGTACTGCTGATTGAGTACTGTTTCGAAGCTGTTCGAAGAACAGAAAATCTTCAGGAACTCGAGTTCGTTTAAACCGTCGGTTTGCAGCATGTCTTTCTATCACACACTCTCTCAAAGCAGAAGTCAACCAAGGAGCGGAAGGATTTTGTTTGTGATAATAGGAGCATGTCAGTCGAGGATGGAGTGAAGATGAGTGGTTAAGGTTTCTACCATGGTGTCGATGGATTTTGAGAAGTAAATACGATCCCATTGAATATCGTCAAGATCGTTTGAAAATGTTTCGTGAGTGAGTGGATTTAGGTTTCGGAAGGATATCGTTCGAGGAGAAAAGGATGGGATAGGGATATTGTAAGAAATCTGGATAAGACCGTGGTAAGATAAAAACGGGATCGAGTGCTGAAATGTAGGAAGGAGTTTGTCTAAGAAATCTAGGATAAACAGATCGAGCCAGGACTCCGAGAACTGGGTATATATGGTAGAGTTGTAGGATACTATAAGATAATGGCTAAAGGCTGAGATAATGGAGGGCACTTGTTAGGTAAGAATAATCGATCGATTACATCAGTAAATTGGTTTTAAATTCGCCGGAGAGGATGACATTTGAGTAGGAAGGAATTAAGTTGTACAAAGAAATCTCGAATGATACATCAAAAACAATTCCAGTAGGGCGATATATGACAGCAAACAGAAGGGCAGATGAAGTTGTGAGGATTTCGGCAAAGAGGTATTCAATGCGCAGAGAATCGGTTAAGGAAGAGCAACGAAGGATTGTGGATTTAAGGCTGACATGGACAAAGAGACCTACTCCACCATCCGTACGATCCACTCTGTCATGACGAAGGAGACTGAGCGTTGGAATGCCAGGTTAAAAAGTCATAAAAGGCATAACACTAGAATCGTTCTACATTAACGAGAATGTGTAAACTTTAGGCGCCAGTCAACTGGAATGCGACTGGCACCGTGTAAATGAGCTTTAACTGTAATGCGCCAGTCGACTGGAATGCCAGCGACTGGCACCAGTGACTGGCGCCAGCGACTGGCAACGTGTAAATGAGCCTTTCTATAGGATAGAAGCGGATAATGAGGAAGTATGTAGAATGTAGGAATTTACGGAGTTTGTAAAGTAGTCCCGGGTGCCAAACTCGATCAAAAGTCTGTTCTACAACGAGAAAGACTCCCGTGCAGTACATTCCGCGCTGTATTTAGGTATATTTCAATTTCATTTAGCCTCTTTTTTTTTAAATTTATTTACTTTTTACCTATGTATGTTAATTTTCTTATTTTACTTTCCACAACTCTTTTTCTTTTATCTCTATTTTAGTTATCATTTGTATGTATAAATTGTGTGAATGCTTAATGTAGCCCTAATATTAATGCCCTTCGATGCGGCAGAATATATTAATCTAAAAAAAAAAAAAAAAAAAAAACATGTCGCCCGCATAGTGCAGACGTTCCTTCAACAGAACAGTATTGAGGTTTTAGCCTGGCCAGCACGTTCTCCAGATTTGAACCCCATTGAGCATTTATGGGATAACCTCGGAAGACGAATAAGAGTGCGTGCAACACTTCCTGATACACTGCAGGACTTTGAAAGGGCTCTTCGGGAGGAATGGCCTATCCTCCAGTAAAGGGACATTTCCCGACTGGTGGAAAGTATGCCGAGGCGTCTTCAAGAAGTAATGAAGGCAAGAGGAGGAAACACGCGCTACGATGATGTAATTAATTTCTTTTACAATAATAATGATTCGTTTTTCTATTTTTTTTTCTCTAATCTTTCTTACCCAATCACATTTTGATTATTAAAGATAAAAAAGATTATAAAATTCCATAAATACTAAGTATTATCTACAAATACCATGTATTATATACAAATACAACTTTTTTTACAAGTGGCAGAAATATTTTTAGATAAAAACATGAAAAAATCAAGTGGGTGGAATTTTTTTCCTGTCAGTGTATAAACATAAATTGTAACGACAAAAATATAGACATATATTGTGACATCCTACGATATCATGTCAAAACTTGTATCATCTTGTCTACCTCAAGTAAGTATAATTATCAATTGTAACGACAAAAATATAGACATACATTGTGACATCCTACGATATTATGTCAAAACTTGTATCATCTCGTTTACCTCAAATAAATATAAATATAAATTTTAACGACAAAAATATAGACTTATACTGTGACATCCTACAAGTTAACACTTGTATCATCTTGTCTACCTCAAATAAATATAAACATAAATTGTAACGACGAAAATATATATTATTGCAAACGAATAAATACATATACGGTAACGACAAAAATATATATTAGTACAAACGAATATAAATTATAACGATGAAATATATATTATTGCAAACGAATATATTATAACGATGAAATATACAGAGATATTATTATAAAGGAATATATACATATATGGCGACGATGAAATATAAATATTTTTTTTATTTTAATCAAATTTACAACTGTATTACATGAAAAATACAACAAATAAATGTGACATTGGTAACATGACATGTACAAAATGAAGAGAAACTACCCATTTCTAGAACTCAAATAAATATAAATATAAATTGTAATGACAAAAATATATATAATTGCCAACAAATATAAATTATGACAACAAAACAAATAGATATATTCTAATAATTTGACGATACTATATTAATCAATTCTTACTGTTAACAATCACTTCATCACCCATAACCCCCCCCCCCCCTATTATTATATATATTTATTCTAGTTTAAAGTTATTTTCGTGTTTTCTTTATATTTATGGTGTTTTTCTTATTGTCGTTTTCAAAGTAATTGTTCTTTCTTTTTCTTATTGTTATATATATATATTTCAATTTAATATACATTATTCATTTAACGGTCAAAGATTTTTTTATTTTTTTTTTACTATTATATATTTATTCTGTATAACACCTGTCCGGATTTGATAATTTTGATAACCATTGTGAAGTTATTAGTGGAAAATGTGGAAAGGTGTTTACACGAAAAGATAGAATAGAATAGAATAGAAAATTAAACTTTATTCTGGGACTAAGTCCCTTTAGAATAACAATGATTTATTAATAAAAAGTAAAATACAAATCTGGCCAAAAACTAACTTATAAAAATATTATATACATTATTTAAAAAGTATGTAACCACTAAACAATAATATATATATATATATATATATATATATATATATATATATATATATATATATATATATATATATATATAAATGAACATAAAATCTTCTCAAAATTACTTATTATTGTGATGAAAAAAAAAAAAAAAGAAAAGAAATTACATATTTATATATACATAACCACACAATTTATTAACAATAGGCTATCTAATAGAAAACTAATACAAAATGTAATAATATCTACAGTGACAAAAAGTATAAAATATAAACATGTATAACAGAAAGAAAAAGGACAACCTGAGGAGAATAGAAAAACAAATAAATAGTAAAAATAATAGTCAAACTAGGTGACACAGTTCATTGCTGTTAAAACTTAAACAGTGGGCACCACCATTTACTTCACGCAAATTCGTTTCATAAAATGAAATTTATGGTGGTAAATCTTGTGTTTGGGAAGTAAGGAGATATAGGAAAAGGAGGTATTTGAAAGTTGACAGGGAAGAGGCATGACGGATGTTATGTGGCAAAGAATTCCAGTAGGAGACGGAGCGGACTAAAAAGGAACGTTCATAAGTTTTTGTCCTGTGGAATGGAATATATAGGTCAGAAACACGGGATCTCGTTTTTATTGAGTGGACTAAGGGTTTAGGCTGGAGGAGACAACAGATATAGGAAGGGTGCTGGGAGTTGATCGTTTGGTATAAGAAATTACCAAGGAAGTATAGGCGGCGGGAAGAGGGGAATAGCCACTTTGACTCTGCATACAGGTGGGACACATGAGACCATCCCGAAGCGCCGAAGATGAATCTTAAAAAACAGTTCATGATATGAGGAGTCCGGTAAGGTCGAACAGCTATTGGCTTGGCATCCCCAGTGACGACGGCGTGTTCAACTCCAGTACAATGGAAATCCCCTTTTCTTTCAGGACTGAGAACATACCGCTCGATTAGCTGCTTGATTGAATTTATATCTTCGATCTGTAAGTGGTTTTGTCTGTCCTCAATGAAGCTCTCGAAATAATTATCATTATCACTGGAACCAAGTGAAGAAATTCTACTGCTCGGTCCCAGGACCAAATGGGTGGGGGAAGCTACTACAATCACGATCCCCTTGTCGATGCAGACTTCTTTGCCACACAGGTTGACCGCTTTGACCCACACTCTACCCTCAGAGGGTGTTACTAGAACCCTCGCGATACGCACGGTTCCACCTGGAAGCTGGAATGGCTCGATAAGAACCTCCTTTCCATCAATATGTCGATCCATTCTTGCTTCAATAACCACCTGTGTTTGAGCAGGTACGTAGGTCCTTCCTATGACTTTAACCTCTAACTCGCTTTGCCCTCCTTTGTCCTCTATACACATCAGGACAGTATGTATCATTTTTAGGCCGGTGATCCGTTCTTCCGTGGACATTTCCAGACAGGTTTGCCGAGTAAACCAATTGCTCACCTACATCAATAAGAGCCGACACCTTTTTCATTACATCCAGACCGAGAACACCCTCCAACGTCCAACAATGTCCAAGGGGACAATCCAAATCGTATGTCTGATAGTTGTATTCCCGACGGTTATATCCATCATCTGTTTTCCGTCAACGAGACGTTTTTTCATCTGTTACCCCTGTGATAGTGCTGTTACCTCCAGGTTCCATTGGTATGCCGGTTATAGGTTTCGTTAACAGGGTCACGTCGGCTCCAGTATCCACTAAAACTTTTCTTGAATTGTCTCCAAATTTGATATAGAAATTAAACGGAGTGGGGGAACCTCCAGTAAAAACTCCTACAGTACCTCCTTGCTTTGACGCTTTCACCGAGGCGGAGGTATCAACTCGGCTGCGCACCGGTTTAAAATTATTCTTTCATTCTGGGATATTCCGTCGTTTCTCGTTACTTTAGATTCAGATTGCTCCTTCTGACCGTCGATTTCCCTCTCCAGTCCTAAATCCTTGTGGCAAGCTCTACGAATATGACCGAACTCGCCACACCGAAAGCATTTAGTTTGGTCACAAGATTCCATTAAATGTCCATCCCTACCACACATTCTGCATCGCCTCCAGGATGGGAAATCCCTCATCCAATGTCCAGTTAGTGAACACCGTGGGCATGGTGTTTTAGGAGTTTCATGCAACCTATAAGGTCTTCTGCGAGCAGGTATCCCACGAAAGAAACGTGGCTGGAACGTACGCACACCTCTCACCTAATTTTCTTCATCCCCATAGTTATCGATCCTATGGTGGTCCTCCAGTTCATCCATGGCACTTCCTCCAGCAACAATCTTGACCGCCTTCTCATTTACGGGCTCATAGTCCGGGGAAACTCGCTCGGCAAGGCTTACTGCTTCATCAAGGGTTTTTACGTCTTGTCCTTTTAGGTATCTTCTCACCTGGGCTTCTGTTTCTAGCTGAAACATCCCAAGGACGACACTGTCCATGACAGCCTTGGCTCCCTTCTTCTGCTCATAATCCCCTAGATCCTCCATGGTAAAGGTAATAATCCCGGCCTCTTCACACCTGTCTGCATAGGTCCTGTAATCTTCTGCAGGTTCGCGTTTTAACTTAAGCAATGACCTCATATCTGCTAATAAATCCCTTTTCTTTCCGAAGCGCTTCATGAAAAGATCCTTCACCTCTTTCCAGTGCTTGGCTTCTCTTATCTCCCAGCCATGTATCCGAAGGTATCTCTCGGCAGCTCCTGATAGTTTGGATATGAGTACATATTTTCTATCAGAATCATTCCAACCAAACCTATCGGCCACCCGCTCGAAGCGTTCGAGAAAAAGCTCAGCATCTCCCGATTTCACTCCTTCTCCAGTCCAGTTTGGTATTTCCTTTTGTATAGAGGCGTTCTCGGTGATAACCAGCTTGACCTCCACTAAGTATGGCCAGTTTTAACTCCTCATTCTCCAACTTTAGCCGCGCGACTTCCGCCTTCTGCCGCTCGAACTCCAGTTGCCTCTTTAGCTCCTCCACTTCCTGTTTTAACTTCTCTTCCATCGTGACAAGGAAAACTGAAATATCAGCAAATAATAAAAGATAGCTACAAGTCGCATATTACCCCACACCTGACACCAAAATGTAAGACGGGTGCCAGGACAATAATAAATAATTACTGAGCTTTTACCAGTATATTATGTTCAACAATATAAGTATTATGTTCAACATGCATGTTGAACTATATAAGCTAACTTACTAACTACACTAATATAATAACATTACATAACAATATTTATAATAGGGGGGGGGGCCGGTATAGCAGAGTGGTTAGCGCGCTATACTAGTAAAGCAAACATCATAGGATCGAATCCCGGCCCTACTTCCCAATACGGCTGGTCCCCGCGGGAAGTTAGACCATTACCCTCTTAATTGGGGAGGCCTACAGGTGTAATACTAGTAAAAACAGGCTATACAAAAAAAAAAATATATATAATAGAACTCACTAATAAAATTCTGATATTAAATATAACATTTTACTCAATGTATCGAGAACCTGTAAGGATTTAGTTGCCGGAGGAAAATAATTTTATTTCTTTCAACCATGTCGAAAGAACTTTGAAGGTACTCTATGCTGTATACGCCGATTTCGAGTGCTACCTCGAACCCGTCACATCTTGTCAGCCCAACCCACTAGATAAATATACATTATTAAAAAAATATTCATAGGCCCATTTCCTATTGCATTTATCTCAAGAAAGATGAAAGTACAACGGATTTAAACGATGATTTAGGGACAGAACCAATAATATATAGAGGAATCGACGCTGCAGAACATTTTATAAAAACATTAAAAGAAATAGCCCTTAAAATAGAACGAGTTTATAAAATGAAAATTTCGATGAATCCCCTAACTGACTCGGAGAAGGAAGCATTTAACCAGTCCTCCGTCTGTTATATGTGTGACCTACCATTAAATGGTGACAAAGTACGGGATCACTGTCATCTAATAGGAAGATATCGGGGGGTTGCTCACAATAACTGTAATTTGAGATTTCAAAACAGACAGCATATAATAGATGAAGACTATAGACATGCTCAAAAGGTATGGGATACATTTAAATGTGAGACGCTGGGTGATTATAACGATATATATATAAAATCAGATACACTATTACTCACTGATATTTTTTAATCTTTCCGACAAATAACAATAAAGTCACATAAATTAGACCCAGCGCATTTCTTTACCGTTCCCGCGATGACGTGGGATGCTATATTAAAATTCACGGAAGTAAAATTAGAACTATTAAATGATTACAACTTGATTTTAATGTTTGAAAAGGGGATAAGAGGGGATCTCTGTCAGGTCTCTCATCGATTCGCCAAAGCCTACAATAAATATTTATCTGATTTTGACCCAAATAAAGATTCAAATTATATATTTTATGAAGATTCTAATAATTTATATGGCGCAGCAATGTGAAAACCCCTCCCTATTAGCGAATTCGAATGGGTAGACCCATCTCACGTCATCATCGACGAATTGAGTGAAAATGATGAATTCGGTTTTATTTTTTTTTTTTTATTTTTATTTTTTTTTTTTTCTTTATTGAGTATTATAACAATCTGTCTGTTGGACATTGGTTATAGTGAGGTAGGATGACATTCACACCATATGTACAAAAAAATAAAATAAATAGAACAAAATAATAATCAAAAGTATATACAATAGACAATAAAATAAAATAACCTAAAAAATAAGAAAATTAAAACTAAGGAAAAAAAAAAAAAAAACACATGCATACCTATATACAATCAGGCGAGGGAACTCCAGGAGAACCCTGCGCGACTCTCCCAACCGCGTCACTGGTACTAAAGCCAGCGGAGATTGGTCGAGAGCACTTTAGCCACATACACACATGTCTTGAGTGAAGAATCAGGCCATTGCCAGAACTCCAATTTATATAATCTACAAAAGGTCGCGAGGCCACTGCCGTTTCAACCTTCTTGGAGGATTATAGGGATGGGAGATGCTTGATAGGGATTGTGCAAGAGGATTTGGGTGGTAAGTAAGGTTCTGGTGAAATTTGGAGAATTTTTCTGGGATAAGGTCTAGGACAAATGGGATGTTAAGGTCATGATGTAGGGTTTTGTTGGATACATAGAAAGGAGCATCGACTATTGTTCGAAGGACTTTAGACTGGAAGGATTGGATGCGCTTGATGTTAGAAAATTTTGCTGATCCCCACAGTTCTAGTCCGTAAGTCCAAATAGGTTTCAGTATTGTCTTGTAGATCAGTAGCTTGTTTTCAATGGAAAGTTTAGATTTTCTGCTTAGTAGTCGGTATAGTTGGCCGTATCGTCGGTTGAGTTCTTGTCTTTTGAGTCTAGTATGCGGGTTCCAAGTTAGTCTTCGGTCTAAATGAAAGCCAAGATACCGGACTGTGTCTGAATAAGGAAGCTGGATGGAATTAAAGAGTACTGGTGGACAGGAATTGCGTCGGAGTGTAAAGGTAATATGTTGGCATTTAGATTCATTAACTTTAATGCGCCAGTTATTACACCAGTGCTCAATCAAGGTGAGGTGACTTTGGAGATTTAAGGATGCTATTTGGGATCAGAGTTGGATGATAAGATTGCGGTGTCGTCAGCGAATGTTGCAAGAAAAGTATCGGGATGAACAGGGATGTCAGCAGTAAAGAGGATGTAAAGCACGGGACCCAAGACGCTGCCTTGGGGAACACCGGCTTTAACGGAGTAGATATTGGAAAATTCTGTTCCACAGCGAACTCGAAAGGAGCGGTCAGAGAGGTAGGATCGGAGGACTAGGTACAAGGACTGAGGTAAATGGATTTTAAGCTTGGAGAGCAGTCCGGAGTGCCATACCCGGTCAAATGCCTGTGCAATGTCCAGAAAGGCACCCGAACAGTATTCCTTGTTTTCTAGGGCTGAGGAAATATGATCAACAACTCGGAGTCCTTGTTGAACAGTAGAATGTTGAGAGCGAAAACCAAACTGATGGGAAGGGATATTTTGGGATTCTATAATGGGTAGGATTCGTTTCAAAAGGATCTTTTCAAAAATTTTTGAAAGGATTGGGAGTAGGCTGATTGGTCTATAGGATGTTGAGCTATTGAGAGGTTTTCCTGGTTTTGGGAAAAGGATAATAGTGGAGTGTTTCCATAACAGAGGGAAGTGGGTGGTGCGTAGGATACAATTGTAGATATATGTAAGGAATATGACTGCTTTGGATGGAAGTTGTCGAAGGATTTGAGGTGTAAGGAGATCATGTCCAGGAGCTTTACGGAGGATTAGTTTTTTTAATTGAAAT